TCCAGCCTCTTGATGTTGGATACTTTAGTCCCTTGAAGATTGCTTATGGTAAGCATATTGAAGGGCTTATGCGGGCGCGTGTCACCCATATCACTAAAGAAGATTTCTTTCCTGCATTTTACACCGCATACCAAGCCACCATGACAGAAAAAAATATCAAAGGTGGCTTTCAAGGGGCTGGCCTTATCCCTTTCAACCCTGAAAGGGTAATATCTAAGCTTGATGTCCAATTCAAAACGCCAACACCGTCGAATTCGCGGCCGACTAGTTCCCATAGCTGGGTTTCTAAAACACCAAATAACCCAATTGAGGCGTCATCCCAGACAAACCTTATCAAAAACCGAATCTCTCGTCACCAAGATAGCTCTCCATCATCAATTCTGAATGCTGTTGACATCCTCGCGAAAGGCACAACGAAGATAATGCATAAGATGGATTTGATGGAAGCAGAGATTCGTGAACTTCGGGCGGCAAATGAGGCCCTTAGCAAACGCCGGAGGGCTAAAAAAACACGTCTAAGGAAAGGAGGGTCACTTTCTATACAGGAAGCTCAAGAATTAGGGGATCAAATGGAGGTTGAGGTACAACTGAAGGAGGAAACATGCAATGGGGCTGGTCAGCAACTGCGGACCGAGACACGCGCACGGCGCTGTGGCAATTGCGGAAAAGCCGGACACAATGCACGTTCCTGTCAGATAGTAGTAGAGATGTCTGAGGAAGGCGATTCTGGGTAATTTTAATGGAATTTATGTGCGTTGGTGGAAATATTGGGGTTAAAGTCGCGGCGGAGCGATTTCGTGTGACATTCGCCCGTGTGTGACATTCGCATGTGGGTCACGTTATATTGTGTTCTACTATATTCACTGCCACTGCCCCAACGACCTAGGCTGAGATTCTCCCCATCTTCTCATCCTGCTACGTACAAGCGTCCCAGAATGATTCTAGCCCCGCCATACCATGAACAGACTTTACATTTCTCATTTGGCAGCCATCTCAGAGAATCTGCTATTATGCAATCAGCAGCAGCTCCGGATCGATTATACTAGACGCATCCCTCAACGTACCAGACATATTTCCCGAGACCAAAATTTGTATATATCAATCAAAGAGAAGATGTGATCTGGATTGTGACACTTTAACTATTCAATCCCATCAATACGGCGTTGGACAAGCTCTACTATTCCGACAGCAAGATCTCGTTACAGCAAGAAAGCAGATTTGTCACAGCTACTGAAGATAAGGTGCACTGTCACTTTGTGGCGCATCCATAGGCTTTAGAATATGACGAGGACCAAGAAGCTTACGGTATTACGGACAATATACGATTCAGATCCAGAGGCCTGGACCTCATCCGAATCGCCATGAGCTCAGTTTTGAACCGAACCGCATTTCAAAGGATTTTACCACAAGCCGCAATGAACGCGGGAAAATAAACTGCAAGAACAGGGCCCTGACATTGATCGAATCAACCTTTCATGTCAAGGGAATCAGAGCTTCCACAGAGCTCGTACGAATACAAGGCATCTCATCCAACGCACGTGGCCTATTTGAATCATCTTGCCGTCAAAGTGATCACGAAGGCAGAATCTTTTGCGGTATTATAATAACGATACCGCAAACAACCCAACTTTACAACACTGATCCAGACCATATCGAACTCGCTTCGCCATGGAAATGAATTCAGAATGCACTACAAGGAGAATCAAGACGAGAACACTGTGAGATGGACCAACCATGGGTTCAATGCAAGATGGCTCAGAGTCTCCACATATTTGCGCTGAGATGCAGAACATTCCTAGTGATCCCGCATGGTCTGCTTGGATTATCTTTTCCGAGCGAATTATGCGTGGTTCCTCCTGCGCCCCATATGCTGAGCGATAGCTATGGGTTTCTTAATTGTGCGACGAGTTCCAATAAACAAATTGCAAAACATGGTTACCAGACTACGGAAACGAGTAGGCAAATGAATCACAAGGGAGTACACATGACAAGAAAGACTTTGAGCGGTGAACTAGATCCCAGAAGAATATTGTCGGTTCGACAATAATGTGTTCTATATGAGACATCAATCGAATTCAGTCATCTCCAATAATGGGGACCCGGGCGACGCCTCGGAGTATTTACAGAAACGGGAGTGTCAATAACTGCCACGCAGTTTAAACTCCAACACGAACTATTTCTATCAATAAAGCAGATCCTCTTCATGTCGCCCTTCCGAACCGATAGGGCTTCCTGGAGATCCCAAACACCTTATACCAATGAATGCCTTCTTACGGCGTGAGATGATACTAAGGGCATGGGGGTGTTGTTATTTTGTTCTATGCCCATTATTGACGAATAGACAAAGTACGCCCTCAGAAATTTGGGAACGAAAACTAGATATATCTACGGAACAACTTTCTGGTGTTTTAGTCACCCTCGTTGCCTCCAGACGGATGACAAAGTCCAGGAAATTGTGCCACTCGATTAATCCACAGCGAAGCTAAGTTTGGCAATTGGAACAAACGACATTGAGCCGAGAAGGCCTCCATCGAGACAGGGGTAGAATTCCAGCAGGCCTGTCACATAATACCCTTCAGCTTAAAGTCCAAACACGAAATGTTGAAAACTGCTGAAGACGTGCTGCAGCACACTTCCCTCACAGACCTCGTGAAAATTTACTGGTGGCCAGTGGAGTACTTTCTTGCAATGGTTTGATTGCAGTTTCAACCTGGTTGGTCTGTTTGGGTTTTCTTCGTCTCCTACTCTTGTCGAGTTCTAGAATCGCTCCGTTGACCCCTCCTCTGCGTCAGCGTGCTAATCACATCAATGTGATAATTGACACTAATGCCCCCTCCAATCTCAACGTTGGCAGACATAACATGTATTTTGAATTCAAGGCCGCAGGGATAATAATCAATGCGAATTAGGACGGGGCGCGAGTTTCTAATATGAAAAATTTCTAACTATATACATAAATATAGCAATACTAATGTACAATAGTCATACATACAGTCCCCACTTGAGCTACGCTCAATCATCAGCACCTCTGTGCACTAGAAGTCCGAGACAAACTAATAAGGCACCTGCTGATGAAACCACTCCATCAAAAACTCTACCTGCTCCTCCTCCGCAATCTTCACATTCCCGAACGTATTCCCCAATTCCATAACCATCTTCGTCCCCTTCTTATCATTAGGAGTCCACACCGGCAACTCTCCTTTCCCAGTATACGAGTCACCCTTGTTCGGATCCAATGTCTTCGCGAAATTCGCCCAGTAAGCACTCATCTTCTCCTGGATTTCGTAATCCGCGTCGGTAAAAGGGTAGTCATTTGCGTTGGCGTAAAGGGCGTTCAGCGCGTACATGATTTCGCTCTGGTGGAACGCACCCTGCGACTGGCCTGGGGGAGCGTGTGTCCAGTAGTACGTGTAGAACGGGGAGGAGGCGGATTTGTACCATTCCGTTGCGTAGGCCCAGGAGCCGACGAGGGAGGCGTCGCGAGCGGCTGCATTCCAGGATCTATCAGCTGTGGCGTTTGTGCCGTTGGATGGGTAAAGTTTGAAGTAGGTGGATGAGAGGTTGCCATATTTCACGGAGCAGTATTGGTTGTATTCGGAGACGGAGTAGTCGGTACTGGTCATCGCTCCAGATTCGTCTTTTGTGTTGCCTGTGATGACTGGGACGTCGTTGGCGGGGCCATCGTGAAGGGTGTCGATGTATTTGGAGGGGAGGACGTAGTCATCGAGCACGGGTTTGAAGATTAAGGGGTACATGGCGGAGAGGGCAGTTACATAGTCGATCCAAGTGCCGTTGACGCGGTCCTGGGAGCCGTTGAGGAGGTCTTCCATTGACAGGGTGCGGAGTTCGGCGATGCTCGAGACGTTGTGGAAGGTTGTATAGTTGGTGCCGTGGGCGATAGCCGTGGACATGTTGACGTACGAAGTAGCCAGACCAGCGAGCAGGGGATCATAAGGGTATCGGATACCGGACTCGGAGATACCTCCATGGAAGTAACCATTGAAAAGGGGAGAGTTGATAGCGTGGTAGACCTGGGAGGAACCGAACGATTGGCCTGCGACAACCACGCGGTCTGGGTCACCACCAAACTTAGCGATATTCTTCTGCACCCATTTGAGGACTTCGAGTTGGTCGAGGATACCGTAGTTGCCAGAGGTACGGTGACCAGTCGCCTGGTAGCCCTCTTCGTTCAACTCGGGATGTGCGAGGTATCCAAATGCATCGTCGCGGCGGTTGAAGGTGATGAGAATAACATCCTTGAGGGCCATGCCACCACCATACCACCAGGCGTCGTCGCTGGACTCATCCGAGCCCTGGTTCCACACCATAACTGGGAGTTTGGCATCCGCAGAGCCAGCATTGGTCCAGAGATTTAGACTGAGACAGTCCTCGCTGATGTACGAGCTGTAGCCACTAGGACACGCAGGGCCAAACGAGGTCGCTTTCAGTGTTTCGTTCCATGGCTCACGGCGTTGAGGCGGTTTCCACCTATTCTGGTAACCGGTATCCGCAGCGAAGGGAACGCCCAAGTACGCGGTAACATTAGACTCAGGAACGTCAAAGAATTTCTCGAGGGTCGACTCGTTGAAGTACTTGAAGCCTTGCACGGGACCGTAGTTGGTTTGGATGACTTGGTCCCAGAGCTGGGCTTGGGCAACTGCAGCACCCAGGACAGCAGAGACAAGGCATTTGGTCGCGAGGGAGACCATGCTGGTTTAGAAACCGAATGAATTGGAAGGAGTGTGATGGGAGACAGTAAGATAGCGATCTCTCGATATATATACTCAGAAGCGGCCACGATTGTACATAATCTCCCAGAATAGTACCTTGGAGAATGAACTAGCCAAGAGTCTCGGAGGTAATGAAACTCGGAAGATGACGACGACAATAGCTTAGTTCTATGAGCATAGTGCACCAATTCTTATCGCCGTCACTAGGACCATGGACTATAATATACTCGGAATATGAAGTCGTCACCCCTGACGATTAAGCCACCGAAGGTGACCCGGATGTGCATAGCCCGGTGCAGAATCCAACGTCTCGAACACATGAAAACGTCTTCAAGATTGCTTATGGCAGCAAATAATGCCGAAGATTAGTGTCTATGGGTCCCGAATCTCCAATCGCTGTTGATCCCCGAAGCCCCATCGAACCCGGGGTGTTATCTCCGACCTCCCGATTCGGTGTCGGAAACCGTGCAAGCCCTGTATAAACCCTGCAACGTTTCGGAGTAGTCCTTGATCAGACTTTGGGGCAATATACCGGAGGAAATTACTACTTGAGGTAGAGGAAATGAAAAAGCTGTGTCTATAGTGCATCATGTCGGCGAAGATCCTGGAATCTCGGCCTCGAGTGAACACCATCGTGTTGATTTAATTGTTGTAACAGTGAGCAGAGTAAGTCGAGTAGAGTGCCTGGCGACTTGGATACTGTTGTTATAGCCGAAGCAGAGGAGGACTGCTCTCCAGTGGACTCAGGCAGAAAATTAAGATAGGATAGGGCTCTCTGCTGTGCTGATCCGCCTTCCATATGTGAACGCCTTTGTTGTTGCCTCTTCTTCTCTTGGAACGTAACATCAAGCCTTTAGGGCTCTCTTCTCTCTGTGACTTAATACACCTCTATGCAGAAGGACATCAAAGTAGGCTACTCATGCTGTCTTCTCAAGTATTACCCCATGCTAAGTATATTCCGCACTACAGTCGCCGAACAAACCATCAAATTATCAATAGCAGTCTCTAGTCTCTCACACCAGGCACTGATCCATGAAAAACGTGGCTTTTTAAAGCCTCGCAACACCATCTGCTTGCCTTGACTTGAAAAGTTATCTGAAAAGTGCTCCATGTCGGCTTGAATGTGGTATTACGGCATCGACACACTGGAGCATATGCTCATGTTCTCTCATTGGGCTTGATTGAATGCCACTAAAAACAGTCATGAAAGTGTAAATTTCAGAATCAGTTCGAATGAAATCCCATGCAGACCCTTTTCGATCTTCATAATCAACCACCAGTTCTCTGTTCTTCTTACCCCTCAATGCCATCGGCAAAAACTTGTGCCAGTGTTCTACCAGAAGAATATGTCCACCATCTGGATGCTGCCGCGCACAAAAACACCTCCACTGATCATGGTGCTCTGCTTCAGCGACAAATATCCACTCCCTCCACCAACCACCACCGTGACCGATGAATTTGCCTGAAGCGTCGTTGTAGAAGCCGAGCCACATGGACTCAACTTCAACACAGTTCCAAAGACCGCTTCTATCGGGATGATGGCTGTTTCCGATCCGTTCTTCTTCTCGTGGACATAGGCTCAAGTGATCTCCTTTGAGTGTAATGGCAAGTCTTGATTCACGATCGCGAATTGAATATGTTCCTCCATTCCATGGATAGGAAAATCTCGAATGGTACGTGGTTGATACACTAGTAGGTATCGGTGTGGGGCATCGCTCGTCTCCCATAGTAAATGACTGCGTTGGCGTAGGACGCCGCCCAACCCTTTCGGTACCGAAATCAGGTTTCTTCCTGGTCATCCTGAAATATGCGGGACTATCATGGTAGAAGCACAGGCCACGCAGGAGATCTCAGGTCGATTGGCTATCCTAACATGCAGTCCAGCCCAAATGGCTGATGAATGTCGAGGGGCTGCGTATTAAGTTATGGAAGGTGGTTTCCAACGGATAAAATACTATGAGAAGGCTTTTGGATGGTAGATGGATTTCTCATTGGGGAATGTATTTTGCCTCGTGGAGTTTGGGAAAAGGTGTATTATGCTATTAGTGACCTTAAGTGCGTCGCAAAACTTGAAGACAGCCAAAAAAAAAAAAAAAAAGAAAGAAAGAAAGAAAGAAAGAAAAGCTACTTTGTCTCAAACCCACTCTCAATCCTAAGCCACGCCCCAAAATCCCTCATCCCCGGATGCAAATTCCGCAACGCCTTAATATCAGCTCGATAACCCTTCTGATGAAACCATTTAAGCATCTCCCCGAAATCCGGCATCCACCACAACAATATGTGTGCCACGAACTCGAATGTCATGGGCAGATCATCCCCAGTCTTCTCCTTGAACACCCTCCCGAACTGCTCAAATGTAAGTTCATCACCTGCTAGCGAAATACACTTCCCTTTATAAATTTCAAGATTCAAAAACGCCTGCGCGGCAAAGAAGCCTATATCCTCAACAGAGACTAGCTGTAGCGGTTTATCCTGAACAGCAATCTTCCACGCCGTCGTAAATACCTTCCCAGCAAAGTCCGGCGTAAAGTTATCCATAAACGCCACGGGGCGGAGAATCGTCCAGGACATATTCGTACCCTTTGCCTGTTCGACAAGATGGTGCTCTATGTTATGCTTGCTGATAAAGTGTGGGATAGGTGTTGGATTATCGTAAGAGGCTTCGTCACCGCCGCGGTCGACGGAGGTGTAGACGAAAAGTTGGACGGAGTTTTTCAGCGCTGCGTCGACGAGCGCTTTGCCTTGGTTTTCTTCGCGCGATTGGTCGGAACTTCCGGGGATGGGGGACTATTCAATGTTTTAGCTCTTTGTCTTATTTGTTTTTTTTTTTTTTTTTTTTTACTTTGGGGGTTGTTCGGCCGGTGATCGAGCTGCCCCCCTTCCCCCTTTACATATTCCAACGACTTTATGATATAAAAGTAATTTAGGACAAAATT